TATTTGTAGTTATCTCAAGTGATGCCCAAACATGTTCCCTCCACTTCGATTGATTTGAGTTGCCGTCTGCATATCGAGGTCGGAAACTTTTCAGACAGCCCTCATATCACTCCACTGGCCATATCCAGCAGCAGGTTATTTTACGTGACTACAAACTTTTAAAATTTAGTTGATCCATTCAAGCTGTTCTAAATGGGCCTTTTCTAGCAATAAAAATCCCTAGATTTATATTGTGTATTTCAGGAATATTTTTTTTTTTTACCTGTAGTCCAAGGGTAGAATAGGATTATACAAACTGAAAATAAGAGAAATAATTAAATAAAAATTGAAGCAATAATAAATAGTATTTAAAATTTTCTGTTATCCCTTCCTTCAGAGTGGTACACAATACATAATATTCCCCTTTCACTTTTCAAGCAGTAAAACTAGCGAAAGGTTGGGGTAATTGTAGAAGTAAACACAGCTTATACTGAAACACTTACTCAAACCAGTGATCAACATTAACGAATCTTTTATGCACCATTAAATGACATGCCTAACGAAAATTTTTAATTATGTTTAATTTATATGATACTTGTAAATGATCAAAGTCAAGAAAATACTGCAACATAGCACCTGCATTGTCATAATCTCACCTGTGTGTAATCCTGATGATGGAGCAATGCATAATGATAAATTTTCTTTTCTATATTCTGAAATATTAACTTTTCTGACATCTGATGCTTTTAAGATACAGTAACACGCCGAACAAATATTAACTTAGAAGCCAAACAACAAAAATCAGCGTTATATTTTCAAATTTGCACAGGACTAGTTTCGATGGTTTTACCGAACCATCATCCTCAGCTTCAAAAGTACAAATGAATGAGATAAGATATAATGATTAGATAAGATAAAATAAGAAAACCTGAACAGGAGATAAGCTACTGGCACCATCTGTTGATGAAACCAGAACTTAAACATAATTTCTTTAAGGAGTGTCGGAATCCCAAAATCTTCCAAAAATTGTGATTTCGAATTTTTGCATTTTCAAATTCTCTACACTTTTATCTTTCTAAAAATACCATTCTTTAATCTCTATGAAAATTAGAACTGTAAAAAATATACTTTTAATTTGTCATCGACTGCTTTGATTAATGAGGATTTTTACATTAAAATGCGTTTTTCTCCAAATATGATTTTTTTATACTCGATGTACCTTTTCTCAGGAACTACTGCTCACAGGTGTCTAAAATTTTTATGGCTTATTTATTAGGTTTCCTAATATTTACTGAAATGAGCTTTTTGTGATAAATTAAGAAAAAGAATTTTTTTTAATTTTTATGTGTGAGAAAAGTGCTAAATTTTACTATGCCTAACAAAATATTCTGTAAATTTCAAAATGTTTCAAAAGCTCATTCAGTATATTCAGATAGGTATTCTTTAATTACACAAAACATTTCAAGCGTGTATTTACAAAAGATTTTGAGAAAAGGCACATCAAAAATGGCCAATTTAACATTGTTGGTATAGGGCTTGCTGATACCCCTTAAAGGCTGAAGGCAAAGATGAATTGGAATTAGGGTCATTAACTAGAATGCAAAGATTTTTTTGAATGTGAAATGCCTCTAGAAAATCCAGTTCACCAATGGAAGATATTTTTTGAATAATTTTGGCTACAGAAAAATTGAAAGTGTGATTTTCGGACCAACAATGTTGGGCAGCAGAAAATTTCTGTTTTTTTTCTTTCTTTTTTCTAACATATGCCTCATGTTTCTTAATGCAAAATTTTAAGTCTCTCTTAGTTTGGCTAATATAAATTAAACCCACACTGGCTAGGAATCCTATAAATACCCCAGGAATTCATATCCGGAATGGGGTCCTTGAGTATAGAACTCGGAATTTTATTGATGGGAGAATAAACAGCCCGAAAGTTAAATTTCCGCAACATACGTGCAACTTTATAGCTAATTGATGGAAAGAAGGGTAGACAACAGAATTTTTATAATCTCCTAAAACAAGAGTGTGCCTTTTGGTGTGTTGAGATGAGAATTTTTTAACTGCTTTATTAATAATTTTGGGTGAAAGGTCCCTGGCAATATCAATTAAGTTTCAAGTTTAAAAGTGAACTGAATAGCAGGATCAATGGAATTCATTGTTGAAAGAACTTTATTTAAATCATTTTAACCCCTTAAGTACGGATTTATTTGAGAAAATATTTGCATGTGGAACGGATATAATTTTTGGTTGCGATTCATCAATAGCTACTTCACCTCAGGAGTATAAATGTAACAAAATTTAGTATTTAGGTAATCCACTATATTTCTAATCTTTATTTTCCTCTTCGTTATCCGTAAAATGTAGAAAGTTTGATATATCATCATAGGCATGCATCATATATCGCATGCCATAGTGCTGGCAAAAATTGGAGTACTTATTGCATATCTTTTTGACCAATACATATGCATTTTTGGCTTCTTCATGTGTGACATCAAGATGCATAATGCAATATAAGCTTTCATTTCATCAGAACTTACAGGAAACCACCTTTTTTATTTTTTTTACACAACCTTCTTTTTCTATCCCTTGTCTGGCATATCTATTCGTCTCTTCTACTATAGTATCCCAAAAATCTTCATTCAAGACTTCTTTCAAAACATCTAAAGGCGTAGGATTACCACCTATTCTACGCAGACTCAAAGGATTAATTCCAGATATTTCAGAAAAACTTTTATATCGGCTACATTTTCTTCTTTCCCAAATCCATTCCTCTGATACTGGTTCATGAGAAGATTCAATATCACTGCTCAATAGACGTCTTGTGCGTCCTCGAAACCTTGATATTATATTACAATTGTCATCATTTTCTAGTTCAATATCGTCTTCATAACCTTCGCTTTGTATTTCATTGTAATTGTCAATTTCAGGATCACTAAACAGTTCTTCTTTAGATTTCTCAAAGTCACTTTCGCTCTCACTATCATAAAATATATTCCTTGTTTTTGACATAATGGGGCAGTATATCGCAAATAATGTTCACCGAAATACTGTAATTGCCTCTTCTATGATGACTGATACAAGCTACAATGAAATGAAAAGAATTGTGCCTAACCTCAAATAATGTTTTAGACATGTCATCCGCTCCTAGGGAAAACAAGTGAATGTCGTCTCCCAGACGTCAAATGTACCCAAGAGTTTAATTTTTGGTTTGACGTCTTAGACACGTCAACTGCTCCTAGGGGAAAAAGTGAATGACGTGTCTCAGACATCAAATGTACCCAAGGCGTTAATTACCTTCAAACAGGGTAAAAGTATTATCTACATAGCAGAAACATACTGGGAACCGGGAAGTTTAAAGTTTCAAACAATTTTGATTCATAATAATGCATGTAGATATCAGCCAGGATAGGACTGAGGGGGGGGGGCTTCTCATGGCTAATCCCTCAGTTTGCGTGTAAAATTTATTTTGGAAAACAAGATGTTTTTGTTTCAAACAGAGTGAGAGAAATTAGCTGAATAATTTCGATGCAAGAGAAATGAAACTCGCAAAGTCTGTTTCTAGATATCTTAATGCACCCTCCACTGGAACATTGGTGAATAATGATTTTACATCAAAAGAAACCTTGAGTAAATTTCTAAGAGAAATGTTTTCAACCTTTTTTACAAACTCTATTGAATTTTTTATGGTGTAAATGTTATTGTCTAAAAAAGTTCAAAATCTAGAAACTAAATATTTAGCTAATGGATACGAGGCAGTACCTAAATTTGATACAATAGGGCGGAAAGGAATACCACTCATAAATTAAAAGTTAAGAATTCATAAAAGTGGTATTCTGTTGCCCAACATTGTTGGTCCGAAAAATCACACTTTCAATTTTTCTGCTGCCAAAATTATTCAAAAACATCTTCCATTGGTGAACTGGATTTTCTAGAGGCATTTCACATTCAAAAAAGCTTTCTGTTCTAGTTAACGACCCTAATTGCAATCCATCTTTCCCTTCAGCCTTTAAAGAAATTATGTTTTAGTTCTGGTTTCATCAACAGATGGCACCAGTAGCTTATCTCCTGTCCAGGCTTTCTTATCTTATCTAATCATTATATCTTATCTTGTTCATTTGCACTTTACAGCTGAGTATGATGGTTCTGTAATACCATTGAAACTAGTCCTGTGAAAATTTGAAAATATAAACGCTGATTTTTGTTGTTTTGGCTTCTAAGTTAGTATTTGATGCTTTGTTTGAGACAATAATCAGAAAATGTATTTTTTAAAAAGCCATCAATGTCTGCTATTTGTTTCAATAGGCTTAAATGTGAAGTGGATAAATAAAGTCAGAGCTGATGAGGTGTATCGCCGAGGATAAAGGATGCTTTTGTGGAGGATTTATTTAGAGGAACACTAGCTTGTGTTTGTCTTTCAATAGCAAATTAAACATGAATTGGATAAAGTCAGAGCTGATGAGGGGTATCTGCCGAGGACAAAGGATGCTTTTTGTTGCCGAGGACAAAGGATGCTTTTTGTGGAGGATTTATTTAGGGAACCACTAGCTTGCATTTGTATTACACATCAGGAAATCTTTATAAGTTTTCAGATTAGGCAAAAAAAGTCACCTTAGTTTGACATAGATTTTGAGTGAACTGTATTTCAAGGGTGGTCAGACACAGATACGTATCAACAAAGCTTTGCCCAATTTGTATGCCAAATTGCTTTTTTGGTCTAGTTATAAATTTTACACTAGTGTATTTCTCTTCCAATTCCCATAAGTGGAAACCTCATGCACTCTGGGGATACATCAGAGCAAACATTATTCAGTAATTTTCTACTTGTATGTTTTATTAAAAAAGGAATTCTTGCATGTGAGGAGATTTTCATTTTAAAATAAACGTGGAATAGATATCAGTATTTTAGGAAATAGACATAAAATAATTGTAATGTTAATTATTAGATAGTTTTATAAGGATGATTATGTGTATTTTTAGACTTATTGTGTGCCAATAATGCAGTTTTAATTTCTTTTGAACAGGATGCTCAAGAATTGCAGGAAAAGTATAATGAAACTGCAAGTGCATTAGATGATAAAGCAAAAGTTAGTGGAGCTGCAAAAGAAAGAGCTGATAGACTCAGAGAACGTGCAAAAAAATTGGCTGAGGATGCAAATGGGAGATTAAAAGAACTAATAGGTAAATTTTGTGAGTTAATTGATTTTATAACTTTTTTAAACTTGTGGGAGTAAAATAGTTAATTTTATTTGAATTGTTTTATTCATGTAATATTTTCATTAACAATGTAATTATGTAATTCACTGTTTTCATATTCAAAGATATGGAAGATGAGTTTGATGACAATGAGAGGCGTCTGAAAGATTTTTCAAAAGAACTGGATGAATTAAACATGGAAATGGAAGGACATTTGGTGGTTATAGAAGATAGATCAGCTTTCTATCGAGATTGCCAAACTTAAAAAATGGACTTTTGTTAAAATTTGTGTGTTAAATTCTTGAATTCATAACTTCTTTCTACTGCCATAAATAAATATGAGAACAAATCATGCATTTCACATGATTGTGGTTTGCCAAACATTGTTTTATAGCAATATTGTTTTGTATAGTGTATTAACCACTGCATAATGTTGTTTGTTTGCTTTGTGTTTTAGTTCCTTAAAAAACTGCCTTCTGTGAAGGAACTGTCTTTGACCTCATTTAAATAATTATTTGAATGAGACTTTTAATCTGTAATTGAATGAAGATCTCATATGTAATTTATTTTTGCTCATTGCTGTTGGAAATACTTACAAGAAGGAATTCTATTATAAGATGTTTAAAGGTGTGTATAAAAATGTAATTGTTGGATTTATGTAAATGAAGAAAAATATGCATCTCAAATCCCTTGCAGTTAGGTAACAGCAAAATTAAGCTGCCATGCTTAAATTTTTGTGTGTGTGTGTATCGTACGGATCAGTATACTACTTTTCTCACAGAAATCATTGTTTTGTTAAAATCAGAGCTGTTTAAAGTGTTTTTTTGTTCTATGTATTGAAAGATTTTCTCTTAGTGTTGCACATATGAATGTCCTTAATTCGAATTATGCTCTGAATGGATATTCATTGCAGCTGCAAATTTGCATCAAGTTCGAATCAAGGTTTCTTTAAGTGATGGTTATAAATATAAGTTTAAAAAAAAAGTTTTATGAAAGCAAAACTGATATGTTTTCTGTATATCAATTGAATTCTTTTATATGCATTTAAGTTTCAGCTATTTCATTTGTTTTGCATTTATTTGTGCTAACTTTGGTTTATATAATTGTTACTGCAAATATAATTTACTTAAAACTAAGCATGTAGTTGGAAAAATCTTTTTTTAATTTGTTTAGTTTACCACCGAAGGAGGATCTTTTATGTTTTACGTAATGAATATATTTTAATATCTTTAAAAATACTTTACTATTTCTACTTTTTAAAATTTTGATGCAAATTTATGTAATTTTATGAGCTGTTAATTTTTTCCTAGAAAATGTGCCTCTCAGAATGTGTTCAAATGTTAGCTTATAAGCTAAGCTTCTATAAAGTGCAGATGGTATTGAAATATGTGTTTAATGGCAAAGTAATCATATTTTGATAAAATCAAAAACATGAAATAGTATGACATAGATACCATATATTTTTTAATATTTGTGAAATTTTGCTGTTGCTAGATGTGTTTGTAATGTTGTGATTAATTCTATGTAATTGTTACTTTTTCCTTCATATTTGTTCATGCTATATCAGCTGTAATGCATACTTCAGCATGAGTGTTGCAATATGTATTTGGACACGGGTATATTAGAGGTGTATATATGAACTTCACTTTTTGTTCCCTTGGAAGCTAATGTATTTTATACATCACATAACAAAATGAGAACTATGACAAATGCTTTCAGCCATATGTGTTTTCTAAAGTATTTTGCCCCTAACAAAGTGCTTTCTGCCATAAAATTCATTTCTCATAGTTTCTCATGCATCTTTTGTTTCTATTCATTATACACAATTTGTTTAAAATGAATTCTTATTTAGTTATTGTTTAACATATTTTTTTATTTAAGTGTTAGTTCACAACAGTTGTTGTGAATAATTATCTGACAGTGTTCTTTCCCATTTACATGTCATAATTATATTTAACATGAGGATCTGAGAATACTTATTTTTTGTTAGTAATTCATTACAAATCTCTCAACCGTGTGAGTAATATTGTGCCAAAATATTGTTTTGTCATAAATTTAGCTTTCTCTTATTACTAAAAATATTTTATGAATCAATCATATGTGGTAAACAGTTTGTCACATTTTGATAAAATATTAACAGTTAATAAAATTTAACTTTTCACTCTTTATATATTGTAATGTTATTATACTCTGATTCATTCAACATCTTTAATATTTTAAATGTGACTGTATTTATCTCAGAGTATTAGTTTCTTATTATATATATATATATATATATATATATATTATATGTAATGTATACTGCATTGGAAATCAAGTGAGCAATGCAGTACTGCATTTTATGTCTCCAAACTCTTCTACAATCAAACTTCAGAAGTTAGAAAGAAAATGCTGCTATAACTTTCTCACTAATATAGCTTTTAATTGAATGCAATTCTATGTGAGTAATAACATAAGGCAAAATTTTTCATGTGGGAATAATTATTATAAACTGTTTCAAATGTTTTCAATTTGAGAACTTTTTTAATATAGTAGATTAGAAATTTACTGTATGAAACAAATCTTAAATTTGTTTGGGGAAAAATAATACAGTCAAATACCGAAAATCCGGCGACCTGAAATCTGTCAACTCTTGAAATCCGCGTTGCCTCTCAAAATATAAAAATTCAATTTATAGGTTCTGGAAACTGCAACATTGAGTATGAAATATCGAAGAAAAAATACTTACCGAATAATGACGTCATAATTACCAAATAATAATGACTCATAACGGAAATACCAAATTATTGACATCATGATAAAAGTTTTTTCCCCCTCTAATCTGCATCAAGAAAGCAGACGATTCACTCAACTCTTCTTTCAAGTTCACGATTCACGTTGTTGTATTTTCCGAGCTTTGTTATTTCACAAAATTGTTTAGTGCTGCATTTTTTTTTATCCAGATATTTTGTGGATAAAATAAGAATATTTTTAATTTCAGCCCTTTTTAATACAATTACAGATAAGAAACACACTCATGATTTTACTGTGTGCAACGTTGAAAAATGTAAACACGTTGCATTGACAGTAATGCAAAAAGTGCAAATTCTGATGGAGTGTGCATTTTATAGCAGAATCATATGGAATTGATATGATTGTTTTATGCAAGAAAATAAAGAAAATGAAATCTTGCAGCAACAGTGACTCTAACACCGGAAATCTTTGCATAAGGTGAAATCAGCAAACCTCGATGCCGTGTATATATAATACAATGAATAATATAATCAATTTATATATGTAATAATAATTTAACGCATATAAAACTGCATAATGTATATAATAATTTAATTAGATGTATCTAATATGCCTTATTTATTTTGCACTTTTAGTCTGAATATTATGATTTATCTTTTCTGTCCTGAAATCCACACAACCTCTGGTCCCAAGCTTTGTGGATTTTTGGATAGTATGTCATTGCACATCATTTTTAATGCTTACATTCTCTCCAAATAAAGTTTCATTCAGAGAGGTACGGGAAATTTAGAAAATTTTAAAGTGTAACTGCCATAATACACTGACTACCAATAAGTATTTGGACACCTATGCAAATGACGATATCTGCGGTCCTAAGGTACGACACGGACTCCGCCGGTATATATCGTGTTGGAAACAGCATCGGCTTTAGTCGCATGCAAGATGCCTCGCAGTTCAGAGCTCTCTGATTTTGAGAAAGGTATAATTATCAGGTATCACAAATGTGGCCGATCCTTAAGGGACATATCTAGCGATCTGAAGTACCCAAAATCGAGAGAGTGGCCTATATGATTAGGAAGTGGAAGGTGAACGGTGATTGTCGGAATGTGCCCCGAGTTGGCAGACCAAAGAAACTGGGAGATACAGACCGACGAGTGCTGTCCAGAGAAATTCGGAAGAACCGCACCCAACCGATGGCCCTCATCCGCGAGGAGTTTCAACAGGCATCCGGGAGTATTGTTTCAATGAATACCATCCGTAAGGAAGCACATCTACTTGGTTTTCATGGTCGTGCTGCTGCCCATACGCCTTTGATCACAAAGTCCAACCGCGCTGCTCGGTTAATGTGGTGCAAAGCACATCAAAATTGGACCATAGATCAGTGGAAATGCGTTCATTGGAGTGACGAATCAAGGTTCACCCTTTACCGTTCATATGGCAGCGTCTGAGTCTGGCATCTACCTGGAGAACATCTCCTGCCAGAATGCATTGTGCCAACAGTAAAGTTCGGCGGAGGTGGAATTATGGTCTGGGAGTGTTTCTCCTAGTATGGACTGTGACCCTTGGTCCCCATTCATGGTAAGCTCAACTCCAATGCCTACTGCACTATTTTAGATGACAATGTGCTTCCTACGTTGTGGCAGTTTTACAGGTTGGACCCCTGTTACTTTCAGGACGACAATGCCAGTTGTTGTGTTTCGACGTTAACCAAGGCTTGGTATGGTGCCAATGGAGTTGATCGAATGGACTGGCCTACCCAGAGTCCAGACCTGAACCCTATCGAGAACCTCTGGGATGAGTTGCATCGCCGAATTCAGGGGTGCACTACCCGTGCAAAATCAGTGAAAGAACTTCTATGTGTTCTCTAAGCCGAGTGGAAGAAAATACCACTAGCTGTCATACAAAGACTTGTGGAAAGTGTGCCCCGCAGGGTCCACGCTGTAATTACCTCTCGTGGAGGCTCTACCAACTATTGATTTTGAATAAAGTTAGTTTTTCTTTTCTATCACAGGTGTCCAAATACTTATTGGTAGTCAGTATATACGTGCATTAAAATGAATTTCCTTTAGCTGGCATATTTCATTCCATTCTTTATTAAATTGTAAATAGTGTTACACATAAATGTGGCATCTGTGAATTCTTCAATTTAGGTATTATCTTATTCAGCAGTTAGGTGATTAATTTTGGCATATCATTCAAGCTCCACCTGCTGTATAAGAGATGTCTTTGTGGGAAATCTTTCTAGAGAAAACTAAACATTTTTATGTTATAAACAGGGAAACCAAATTCAGCATTTTCATCCATTTGCATATTGAATGCACCTTTCATTCAATATAATGTGTCACCATTGCATTACATGTGCATCTAATTATTTTTAATATAGTAACAATTTATTAAGTGTTTGAAATACCTTTAAGTGCACTGAAGAAATGTCAGAATAGTATTTCTGTTTTCTGCACTTAAATCTTTGCAGTTGTATATCTACTTTCAACCACCTAAGCTTTTTTTATGCCATTCCAGTCGTATGTCTGCTCTCAGCCGCCACAGCAAAAAACCATTCTCATCTTCTATTATATTAAGTCAACAAATTTCATGATCTTGCATATTATGTACTTCATTTACTGTGAATTAATTCCAATCAGCATGATACTTATGTATAAAATTATACAACCGCAAACAGTTAAGTTACCAACCAAAATATGAAAAGTACAGCATTTAAACATATGTGCTGTATCACCAAAATATTCTTGACAACCTGTTTTCTTTTGACATGGTAAGTAAATGAAATTCCTTTACTGATGTCAAATCAAAGCAGAATTTGCTATAATGCTCTCTGAATACTAAATTACATCTGCAAATATGAAATGCATTACAGAAGTGCCCAAACAATTATATTACACTTTTCCCAGTTTTGCATGATTTTTTTTCACTTAATTGGACAAAATTTTCTGTTATGAGCAAAAAGGTATATTTAACATGGAGGAAATGATGCTGTGCCTGTTTTTCTGTATGGTGATGGAAAAAAAAATGTAAATTTTTTAAAAATAGGGAAAAAATTCCAGTTTTGTAGAGTGAAATGGCAGCAAAGAATCTTCTGATACCATAAAACGTTCTTAATGACTCTGAATATTACCATGATCACATCATCTAAAAAATCTTCATGAAAACCATGGCAGTTTACAAGAGCAAAGGTCATATTCAATGCAATGTCAGAAAAACGTTAAATATCGATCTCGTATGTATGAATATTTTCATAATTTTCATGAAAAGCCTGTGTGCTTTTAAGCTTAAAGACTTTTTTTTTACGTATTTTTCATTATTTTGTAAAGTTTCCAAAAATGATTTCAGTATGGCAATTTATCTCTAAATTTTTTTTTTTTTTTTTTTTTTTTTTTTTTTTTTTTTTTTTGTAAGAAGGGTTATTGGCAAATCACGTAGTGAAGAATGGAACCCCTTTCAAAACTTACGGTTACCTGTCGTCCCCGTGTGATGGGTGTTAAGGAACGTGTACGAACTCGATTAATACACTATAATTTAATATGTTCATTATAATGTAGATCTTTTGTGACAACAGTCATGTTTTGTTTTGCATATGCTTTGAGCGTGATAATGCACGCGATTTTTTTTATATGTTTAGAATGCTAAATAAATAGGATGGTTGTTAATTAAAAAGGTTTTCTTTGCAAAATATATTTCCATTCGTCTGAAGTTATTAAAATAAGATGAATTGATTGATTTCAAACAACTGGCATTTGCGACAGGACGAAATGGCTGTTTGAAGAAAACAAAACATCGATTTCGTATTGGAATTTATCAAGTGAGTTTATGATTTATTTGATTATATCCTTGAACATACTGAATTTAAAATCATGGAAATTTTATTACGAAAGCGTAAGCCTCTAAGGCAATCGTCTACGATTACTGCCAATGCTTTAGATGCGGAAATTCTAAAGCCTGACGTGGAGATTAATCAACTCCAAGTATTGAACTCGCAATTAGAAGGTAAATTCAACAGATTAGATAAAATGCAATCACAAATTTCCAAACTTTTGTTAGAAAGTGGAAACAAAAGAATATTTGGCCGATTTTGAAGCGAATGAAACATATCGTGATAAATATATCAGTTTAAGAACAAAAGTAGAAAATAAAATGGTGACTTACACCTGGAACTTTAGAAAATTCCATGAAGGGGAACTTAAAATTAACAAAGTTGGAGCTTCAAAAATTTAATGGGGAGACTCGGAATTGGTTATGATTTTGGGGACGGTTTAAGAAGATCGACGAAGATTTAAATACAGATGATGATAAATTTCAGTACCTATTGCAAGCAACTCTCGTTGGATCCCCAGTGAGAGAGCTCATAGTTAGTTATCCTCAAGTGTGAATTATAAAGAAGCTATCAAACAGCTAAAATCTCGTTTTGCGCACGACGAAT